ATGTGCACCCTTAGTAATTAGTACTGTAACAATATCAGATTTTCATACATGATTAATGTGGTCAAAAGAATGCAAACAATATTGAGATATCTAAATAAAAAATAATTTTAATAAACGATGCTATCAGTCAAATTGATCTTTACATTTATTTTGTGTTTTGTCTTTTTTGACAAAAATAAAATAATAATACGAGTGTAGGGAGGCAGAGAGAGATTTTGTAACCGTAACTGTGCAAAAATGTAACAAAAACTGTTAAGTGCCACTTCCTGCAGATCCTGTTTGCCTTGTTTGTAATTTTTATTATATTGTCTCTACATATTTGTTTGCTCTATCAGTGTATGGGACCTTTGAAATAACTGAAATCATTTGGTGAAGTGATCTGGAACTGTAATGCGGTTGACAGACCTGGAACTACTTCATAGCAGAGCGTTTCCTGGAAAATAACTGCACACCTTAGAATCAAGAATCAAGCATTCAGCAGCCTGTGGTATAAATTTATTTAAATAGCAGTATTTGTGATTTAATAATTGCACTGTTTTATTTTGATTAATCTTGCAGCCCTAATAACAATTTCATTTTTTAATTATGACTGTTATTGTTAATATTAGTATATTGTGACGTCTTTGCAATGCACAAGACCTACAAATCATGGATAAAAACCCAAATATGTTTTGTAGTGTGAATTTTAGCCAGTCTCTGAAAAGCCTGTTTTGTATTGTGTTATTGTGCAGTTGCTATGGCATTCTGGGCCGGAAAATCTTGAAAAGTTAGTCATGTAATATTTTGTCTTCTAGAGTAGACTGGTCATAACTTTTTTAAATCAGTTACAAAAAGGTAGACCGGTCTAATTTGAATTGAAAAGTTAATTGACTGATTACCCTTTGGCTAACTGCTTGTTGGATAAACTAGTTCTTAAGACACAGTCTTAACATAGTGGCTATGTTTATGCAACTGGCCTCAGGGTTGTTGCTAGGTGGTTTTTGGGTTGTGTGGCGCCCTTCAGAAAAGCCCACCTCCATTATATTCTGGCCTGTAGATATGCCTTGGATCTGAGGTTAATATAGGTTAAATGCAGATTGCAGCTGTGCTGTATTTGTCTGGCACATGATGATGTATTTTGTCAGGTTCCCTCACTCTCTTCCCCACCATCCAACTCTGAAAGCTGAATGTAGGCCAGAGAATTCCCATTGAGTGTCTTTTGTTGTCCTCGCTGGTAGGGGGGATTCAGGTAGTGATGTTAAGTCCTGTTGTGGTAATGGCAGCATTAATGTCTGCCCGCTCATGAATGACTCCCATTAGAGTCCCCCTGGTGTCTCTGAGCTGGCAGTCTTTGCAATTCTCCCACACAGGCTTTGTATTATGGATGGGATGCATATCTAAGATGTGACTGCCTGGCTGTTGGGAAGACCCTGTGTGGTACCCGTAATCATAACATGAGACGCATGTTCCTCAGTTCCTGAGGGGGGAAATTTAATCAATCAGTGCTTTTAAAATCAGTTTTACAGGTCTCACACACATTAGTCTTGATTTAAAGTAAATGTCCCTCTCCCTTATGAATCTGAATGTAAGAGCTTTGTTTTGCACTTTGCACAAACTGATCTTAATGGACTATATGTAGTTAAAGAAATAGTCCATTCAGAAACGAAAATTGTCATAAAATACTAACCCTCCAAAACTATAATTTTCGATCATTTTCGGAATGCAAATGAAGATATTTGTAATATTCTCGTAACTTTTTTGTCCCATCATTTGAAAGTCCACACAACCAAAACTTTTCTTGAAAGCAATCCATATGAATCGAGTAGTTTAAAACAACTCTTCTGAAGAGACATGTTCACATTATATTGTGATGAACAGATTTAATTTAAGCTTTTATTTACATACAAACGTTTATCAACAAGCATACAAAGAGCATATCAAATATGGTCAACGAGCTCAACCATGCTTGATGTGTGGGAACCAATAACGTTTGCCTTTATAATGAAAGAACACAAATTTACAGTGAAACAGAACTGGACTTTCTATTGTATAGTTAATTTAAGAACATGAGTAAATGATGAAAGTTTTTGGGTGAACGATCCATTTTTAATCTCCTTGATGAGTACAGTTTCTGTCTTATAAAGACAATAAAGCTTGTCAGCTTTTTTTAATTATCTAAAAGTCTAATCACATCAGAGCCATAGGGGGACAGACATTCTCACTCTAGAAAGCATTTGATTGGACAAAAATTGGTGTAGTGCAGGATGAGTCATCAGTATTTTTCTGTTGAGATGTCAATTTTAATATATCTGTTAAATCCTATAATTTTGTCAATGTTAAGGAATATGCTAGCATATAGATGACCTCAAAGCTAATAGACATGGACTAAAAACCATACAATTTAGATTTCATAGGACTTAGTAGTAAGTATTTGCTGTGTTTGTACTTTTAACCTTTTAACTTTAAAAGCATCTCTTAAGCGCAGTGTCTTTACTCTCATACAGTACTGACAGACATACAAAACAGAAAGTGAGGAAAGGTAAAAATGTAGGCAAGACAGACTTTATTGCAGGAAGGTTGTGACGGCACACAGTTGCCAGGCATTATGAGTGGGAGTTGGTGATTTGGCAGAAGAGTTCTGGTTACCCAGGGAAACTGCATCTGTCCTGATGCTCGGTGTCTAAGAATGTGAAGGACAGAAGTTCAGCTCGTGATGTGATCATGATGTGTTGACAAACATGAGGCTACGGAGAAAAATGAAGCCATTTAATGCATCATTCCATGTGTCTCCATGAAGGAAGAAGAATGTAACGTGACAACAAACTCCTATGGAATCATGGGAGGGAGTTATTCAGTGTGTTAAAAGCCATTATAAAACATTCTCATGGCAGTACCACAGTACAGTGAAGATATCAGATGGTAACATTATAGAATAGAAATTCTTCAAAAACTTTATCATTTTGAACAGTATATCTGTTGTTTTAGTATTTTAAAACGTGCTTGTCTGTTATTTTGCTTAAAAAGTATTTTCTTAATATAAATTGCATTCGATTTTTTTTTGTTACATTATAGTTTGTTATCAAATGTAATAATATTCATAGATTTTAAGTGAGGGTTTACACTGTGTCCATTGTTTCCATTGACAAATAATTTGTGACGTGACACAATCGCAGCCAATCAGAAGATATTTGACGTTTTATATACTATTATGCGGAACAAGTTTTTAGTCCAATGAGATTTCATTGGGGGTGGATTACTCAGAAATATGCTAATTTTACTGTCACTCATCATATAGTGCTTGGTTATGAAACATAGAAATACTTTTTGGTATATACCATGATACTGAACGATTGGCGTATACCATGGTATTTTATGGTAATTTCAAAGAATGCAATAGTGTAACCCTTGTACGTCTCCATGATTCTGTAATATTTTATACATACAGAATATGAAATATGGAGACGTGAGAAAGGAAGGAGTGCTCTCATAATGGACAGGGAGCTGGAGGGAGACGTACAGGAAGTAGAACAGGATTGTTATAGTCTGGAAGAGGGAGGGACGCTCAGACATTCTGCCTCCGAGCCAAATGCCGCCGGCTCCAAGACATGTAAACAGTGTCTTTGTATATGTGAGAATGAGAGTGTGTTTTAATGGAGAAAGTGAAAAGAATCAAAAGCTAAAGAAGGCTAGCACTGGGTTTAATTGGATTTTGGAGGCAGCAGTCTGTGTGGCTCACACACATGACAGACCAGAACATTTTCAGTGATTTTGATAGATGACGCTGACTTCACTTTCCCAACTGTGATTTTGTTTTTTTTTTGATTTCCTTGAACTGAAGTTAGGTGTCTATCTAGTCATGATGAAGATGTATATACATTTCAATTTCAGCAGGCAACTATTTTTACAGCTACACTATTGTTCCAACCACAATTAATCACAACAATGCATATACAATTACAAATGATTTATAAATCATCAGTTTGTTGTTTTACACACATGCACACAGACATTATTTCATACACGACATAACTGTTAGTCGTGAGATGCAAGAAACATATGGCAAGAAATCTGTAGACGCACCCATAACAACAAAAGACAATACTTTATTGAACCTTTTCTGATAAGAAGTGTGCGCTGCAAACGCGAGCATTTTTGACGATCGTTTCTGTCCAGTCTGCTCGTTTTATCGCGTTTAACCACAGCTGTCGTCGGTTTTTTGTCTAGCAGTGGCAGAAGATATGCGATCAAATTTCTAATTTGAGGCTGTATTATGTCGATTCTGGCACCCAACATCACAACAAGATGATATTTTAAGCTCCTTGTGTAGCCAAACCTGCGCTGGTTTGAATGGGCCACCTCCAGTTTCCCCTTTGTTTTGCTTCCTCCAGCTAGCGCTGTGACGTCGGTTGACCCTAGTTACCTGTGGTTGGCCTGGCCGTGCATCACTCAGAAAACAACAGGCCAATCAGAAGAGAGGCTCATGAATATTAATTAGACAGGCCAAAATTGACCTGTTCTTTGGTACTTATACCGCAAATATATATTCTTAAGGACATCAAAACCTAAAATAAAACTCCAGAAAGGTGTAAAATATGGGACCTTTAACAAATCGCATTATAAGGGCAGATATTTGAGAATGAATGGACTGTTTCCGATTCAACACCTGTTAAGCTGTGTTAATGTCACAGAAATATATTTTCTACTTGTCCCTTACTCAATGCCTCTGTAAATTCAGCTTTTCCATTAGAGGAATAAATTACATTTGAAAATATATTAAAATGGAAAACAGTTATTTTAAATTGTAATAATATTTCACACTTCTGCTTAATTCTTAATTATGAGTGTATTGCTGTACGATAAATGATTTTTGTTTATTAATTTTTTTTGTAGTAATTGACAGCATGTTGATTTTTTTATTCATTTAACATGCCAATTCAAAGGCTAAAATGAGCTTAAATGCAATAAACGATTGAAGTTCTAACGTGCCTCTCTTTCTCCTTCTCTCTTCCCTCTTTCTCCAGAAGAGCAGCAGCCTTTACACCGGGATGAGGCCATCTTCATTGCCCTCGCGTCCGTCTCTATAGTAGCGGTTTTGATTGTGGCGCTGTTCTTCGGCTATCGCATGATGATGGGTGAGATGCAGTACTCTGTGTACTGATTGGCTGTTTGCGAATAAAGGTCACGCCATGTTGTTACAGTGTTGTGATGCATTGTGTGCATACTGTGTGTGTGTGTGTGTGTGTGTGTGTTGTTACAGGCGAGTGTAAACAGGGTCTGCACAACATAGACATGATAGAGGCCGCACCGTCAGAACCATCTCTGGATTTAGACAGTTTAAAGCTCCTGGAAGTGAGTTCAGCTCTTCTAGCTGCCACCAAATATGTGCACATTATCATTTTTTGATTTTGAATTGTATTGTAATGAACTCGAACCATCTGTATTTGTTTATCATGTAACATCTGCTACAATTGACTCCTGAATATGTTTTCATGCAGTTGATTGGTCGAGGACGCTATGGTTCTGTCTATAAAGGATCACTGGATGAACGCCCAGTTGCCGTAAAAGTTTTTACCTACACCAACCGGCAGAACTTTGTGAATGAGCGCTCCATCTACCGAGTCCCTCTTCTGGAGCATGAGAACGTTGCTCGTTTTATCGTTGGCGATGAGCGTCTCACGACAGATGGGCGGATGGAGTACCTGCTGGTTATGGAGTACTACCCTCATGTAAGTATTGATCTGGTACAAGCCCTCCTTTCTCTCATCCTTAAAGTTGTATGCGACACGGCTCTGGTGCCTGACTGCCCTGCTTGGTGTAGTTTTCCACATTTTACCTTCATCTGTCCTTTATTCCTCATCTCTTTGTTTTATTGGCCTCTCCTGACTATTTCTGTCAAAGTCGGGAGTGGAATCGAATGTCTCGACGCTATCTGGTCAGATATTTTTATCCATGATTCAGATGCATTTCCAGCAGGCAGCATGAGAAGGGTGACTTGGATGTCAGCTTTGTGTCTGTTCATCTTTCTGTCTCTCTCTCTGACTGGCTCCTATTGTTTTCATTCACTTATTCTGTATTCATCTGCCAACTGTAGTCAGATAAAGTGTTTTTCTGTCTGTTTTAAATGCAGAGATGAATTCACTAAACAGATGAGCCACTTTTGTGAGAAGTCCATTGGCTTTTGGATTATTGCAGAAAATAAGCTCTGTGACAAACAAACGTTTATGATATTTACACGTTCATTGTGATGATCTTTGAAGCCTAAATACAATTGCAAAATACAAATAGATTTTTGTTTATTAATTTTTTTTGTAGTAATTGACAGCATGTTGATTTTTTTATTCATTTAACATGCCAATTCAAAGGCTAAAATGAGCTTAAATGCAATAAACGATTGAAGTTCTAACGTGCCTCTCTTTCTCCTTCTCTCTTCCCTCTTTCTCCAGAAGAGCAGCAGCCTTTACACCGGGATGAGGCCATCTTCATTGCCCTCGCGTCCGTCTCTATAGTAGCGGTTTTGATTGTGGCGCTGTTCTTCGGCTATCGCATGATGATGGGTGAGATGCAGTACTCTGTGTACTGATTGGCTGTTTGCGAATAAAGGTCACGCCATGTTGTTACAGTGTTGTGATGCATTGTGTGCATACTGTGTGTGTGTGTGTGTGTGTGTGTGTTGTTACAGGCGAGTGTAAACAGGGTCTGCACAACATAGACATGATAGAGGCCGCACCGTCAGAACCATCTCTGGATTTAGACAGTTTAAAGCTCCTGGAAGTGAGTTCAGCTCTTCTAGCTGCCACCAAATATGTGCACATTATCATTTTTTGATTTTGAATTGTATTGTAATGAACTCGAACCATCTGTATTTGTTTATCATGTAACATCTGCTACAATTGACTCCTGAATATGTTTTCATGCAGTTGATTGGTCGAGGACGCTATGGTTCTGTCTATAAAGGATCACTGGATGAACGCCCAGTTGCCGTAAAAGTTTTTACCTACACCAACCGGCAGAACTTTGTGAATGAGCGCTCCATCTACCGAGTCCCTCTTCTGGAGCATGAGAACGTTGCTCGTTTTATCGTTGGCGATGAGCGTCTCACGACAGATGGGCGGATGGAGTACCTGCTGGTTATGGAGTACTACCCTCATGTAAGTATTGATCTGGTACAAGCCCTCCTTTCTCTCATCCTTAAAGTTGTATGCGACACGGCTCTGGTGCCTGACTGCCCTGCTTGGTGTAGTTTTCCACATTTTACCTTCATCTGTCCTTTATTCCTCATCTCTTTGTTTTATTGGCCTCTCCTGACTATTTCTGTCAAAGTCGGGAGTGGAATCGAATGTCTCGACGCTATCTGGTCAGATATTTTTATCCATGATTCAGATGCATTTCCAGCAGGCAGCATGAGAAGGGTGACTTGGATGTCAGCTTTGTGTCTGTTCATCTTTCTGTCTCTCTCTCTGACTGGCTCCTATTGTTTTCATTCACTTATTCTGTATTCATCTGCCAACTGTAGTCAGATAAAGTGTTTTTCTGTCCGTTTTAAATGCAGAGATGAATTCACTAAACAGATGAGCCACTTTTGTGAGAAGTCCATTGGCTTTTGGATTATTGCAGAAAATAAGCTCTGTGACAAACAAACGTTTATGATATTTACACGTTCATTGTGATGATCTTTGAAGCCTAAATACAATTGCAAAATACAAATACAATACAAAGTAAAAAGCTTAAAAAAAAGTTTAGGCTTAAAGAATGACCTTAAAGAAGCGTAAAAGTGTCTTGAAGAAAATAACTAATAAGGAGTTAGATATTACTAATGTATTTTGTATCATACAATAAAACATGAAAATATATTGAACTTAATAGCTCAAGCTTAATAGCTTAATGAGTGTAGCTTAATGAGTGTTAACCGTAACAGACCTGTAAACATAAAAAAGAAAGAAAGAAAAAGAACACATTGACTTCAGGACGATGGAACCGGAAGCTCAAAAATGCTAACTTGGTTTTGGGTTTTAGGAGTCATTCCTGCAGGACTTCACAGTATTTAAATGTATGTCATTGTCACTTTTTTTTGTATTTAAATGAAGTCATTGTCACTTTTTTTTTTAAAACACAAACATGCCTCCTTTCTTTGTAAAGTAGGCTTTTTATACATCGATTCTTCTTCAGAAAACTTCCAGGCATAATTACCACTGCATTAAAATAACATGGGAAAAGGTGGTAAACTGAATTTTAGATGTTTGTGTACGTTTTTATTGATCACAGCAGCAGTTACGCATTAATATTCATCAAATGAGTGTTATAACCGCGCACATATATGCAGTTGAGTGCACTTTCAGCTTTTTAAACAGTCAATATAGGTGTCTGGATTGCTTTGGTGAAGCGATGCGTTACGTTCCCAGTAAAGTACGTCAGATTGCAGTAGTCTGTTGCATCCTTGACAACCTTGCACTCAGAACCAGCCTGCAAGCTGGGAAATTACGAAGTGCGTTATTTGTCTTATTTCGGCATGTTTATGCCATTATCTAATTTGCGGAATTCCTTTAATCAGGTGCTAAAACAATGCAAACACCACATACAGATAAACAGACCTATCTATGGGCACAGTTCATTCTTAGTCATTCCCTCCTCAGCTTTCAGAACTCACACAAAACATACGATAACAATAGCCCAGGGTTCTTGCGACATATTTTCCTATACGTTCCTGTTTGACATGTTATCACTCGCAAGTTTGTCTGCTAGTGTGCCTGTTCTACCCGCCTGGGCCTTTTGAATGGCAGTGAGGAATGTGACACACCTTTATTGTGTCTGGCTGCAGACAGACAGCACTCTGTTGAGACATCGCTGTGTTTGCTCTTGCCCTCTTTCACTTCTGATGTATGAATTATATAATGAACTCATAGCCTAAAGCCAAGGTACAGGTAAAACCCTTGTAGGTGAATGTTCACTTCCTATTTAGACATGAATTGATGGTTCGCCACAGAACTCTTTCTGTGGATTATTCCTTATATGCTGTACCTTTTGAGCTCTGCAACTTTACCAGACCATTTTTTTTTTTTTTTTTTTTTTTTTATTAAAACATGATTATATACACAGTGGCAAATTAACTGGATGGAAATAACAAGCTAAAGTTAACCACTGATTAATGATGAGTGATTGAGAATTAGCTAACATGAGGGTGTCAACATAAAGATCTTTTGAAAAAGTTTTATAGAGAGAAGTGTCATTTCAAATTACTCTGGGTTGAAAAGTATGAATAAAGTGAATTGATTTTTTTATCATAAATGTGTGTGTGTGTGTGCTCTCTATTGTTGTGCTTATCCTGTCTTTTGCTTAGCAACACGCTAAAGTCAGACTTCAGTGGAATCAATTAAGAGTCAAGTCTACCGTGCACTTCACGTGAGGAGCCATTTGTGTTGTTTTGTGTGGCATGTGTGCCTAAAAAGAGTTCTGAATCATCACTTATAGGGTCCCATGTCAGTTAGGATGCTGCCTTAAAAGACAGCTGCCTTAGTAGGCAGTAGACAGCAAAGCAGCACACTAGGTTTTGGAGCAAAGTCTGTGTCCGTATCAGTCAATGTTCTGTCTGTCACACATCATTAGAAAGATGGAATGGCAGGACCAATGTCCGGACATAACATAAATTTTCCTGTCGCTATGGTAACAGAGACTCAGGCAGGGCTTGAGGGAAAGCGATTGGCTTTTGTGGCTCTGATGTACACTTGCAGGTAGATAATCATTCCTCTGCCCAGAGCGCCCTGAAATCTGTTGCACCTCTCCATCGTAGATGACTGGTCAAAAATCTCTTGATCTATGTCTTGTTATCGGTAGTATTTAGCTCAGTTTATTGCAGAGCCAATTTGCTATCAGTGTGTATTTCAGGGCTGTGTGATTAGAAATGTTTGCAATAGGATAATTGTTTGTACACACACACACACACACATACATACACAAAACAAATAAATACATAAAAATAAAAAAATAGCTGATTTTAGTTATGTTTTAACCATATAACTAAACTAATGTTTACATTATGATAAGTGTTTAGTTATATTCTAACAGTATTATATATATATATTTTAATGTTTGTTGTTGATTTTAGTTATGTTGTAACCATATTATAATACTACATAATATTTTTATATATTTTTAAGTATTTGTTGTTGATTTTAATTATGTTGTAACCATATCATAATATTATCTTACATGTTAATGTATATTTGTATTATTTTTTGTAAATATTTTTATTTTATGTATTTATTTGTTGTTGTTGTTGATTTGCATTGTAACCATATTTCAACATAATTTTACATTTAAATATTTGTTTTCTGTAGGGCAACTGCATGCCATGCTCTATATTAATTTAGAATTTAGAAATGCAACAGCGCAATGCCATATTCTTTATTCAGGCTGTATTTTGGACTAATTTGATTGTCCATTGCATTCATGCACTCAACAGACACATCTGTGATTAGTTACAATGCTCAACCAAATGCAAAATAATGTTGCTAATAAAATATTTCAGTGCAACACGAGTAGACCTAAATGAAAGTATGTAATCGTCACTTCATTCACAATTGCTGCATCAGCCACAAGTTTTTTTTTTCAGTCCCATGTTGCATTATTTCAAGAGCTTGTCATCAGAACAGTGACCTGAGTGTGATTTACAATTCAATGTTAAACGCAGCATGCCACAGTGACAGTTAACTAATAAGCAACTATTTGCCCCACCTTTTGAATTGGCTTACAGTATGACAGTTATTGATATATCTACAACACACATAATTACGTCTGCCTCTCTACAGCCCCTCATGTACTATATGTACAAAAGCTTCCTGTTGAAATAAATTAAATATAATTTACAGTGTTATTTCTGTAGTTTAGTTAGGAAAAGAAATTCTCCGTTATGTACAGTACTATGCTGTTTGTTGATGCTGGTAGTTTTAATTGCGTTGCCTAAAAAACCCCGGAGGCAGTAATTAGTTGCAGGCAGCTTTACATTACAACTTTGTTGAAGCCCCAATTCATTATTCAAGAGCTTCATAAGCTGCATATCTGCTCTGCAGAGATTTGAAATGCTGATGTAAAAGCAATGATGAGTTGTGTGGAAAAAAGCAGCATTGATGTGGAGAGATTGTTGTTGTAGAGCAGTGTTAAAAGCAACAAGGTTTCTGCAACAAGGATGTTACTGCTACTGCAATAAATAACACGTCCATGTTCTTTTATGTCCCTTTTAGTGGTGTCTTTGAGCAGTTACAGGTTATGTGTGTGGGCTAGTTTAACTGTACTGTGTCTGTTTGTAGGGCTCTCTGTGTCGGTACCTGAGTCTGCACACGTTGGACTGGGTGAGCTGCTGTCGTCTGGCACATTCGCTCACGAGAGGACTGGCCTACCTGCACACCGAGCTGCTGAGAGGAGGTGAGGGTCACCTCTACATCTGTGCACACATCCTTCACTCTAGCTCTTACTTGATTTCTCACCTCCTTGAGGAATATTTGGCTGCCCATTCGAAGGAATGAAGCCTTGTTGCTATAAACCGAAGTCGTTCATTTGTAAGTCGCTTTTGATAAATGCATCTACTAAGTGAATAAATGTAAACGTTTTTAACTTTCTATTCATCAAGAATCCTGAAAAAATGGTTTACACAAAAATATTAATCAGCACAACTGTTTTGAATAATAATAATAGATGTTTCTTGAGCATAAGATAATGATCTCTGAAGAATGTAATGATGCTGAAAATTCAGCTTTGCATCGCAGGAATGAATTACATTTGAAAGTATATTAAAATAAAAAAGTTATTTTAAATAGTAATAATATTTAACAATATTACAATTGTATTGCATTTTTGATCAAATAAAATAAGCCTTGGTGTGCATAAGAGACTTCTTTCTAAAACAAAAAAATCTTGCCCCAAACTTTTGAACAGAATTGTATTTACTCAAGATATCAGTCTATGAATATTGCAAATCAGTTTGTTTCTGCTAGTGGTGGCTGATTCACCACAGTTGTAATTGGCGTATAAATTATTAAAGTCTCATGGGAGAAATAAATCCTAACACTACCATTTTAAGTTTCGTACCAGCTTGCAGTATGAACATATTATGAACATGAGTCATCTGACTGAAAAGATGATCATAGTTTCATTTCTATTCAGAATTCCGTTAAAAGCCATTTGATGTCTGACTTCAAACCTTCAAATAAGAAGCAAGTACTTATCTTTCCATTTCGGTGTCAACAGACTTTACTTTGAGTGTGATTGGCATATAATTTAGCAGAAGTCTGGTGGGAGATATAAATCATAACAGACCCTGGAGGCGCAGATGTGCTCATAAGATCTGACAAGCATTTTAATAAAGTCATGTAGAAGAAAAATAGAGGCTGAATGCAGTCTTGGGCAAGGTGAATGTTCTGGTTTTCTTTCTGTGCTGCTTTTGAGTTTCTTCGACTTGTTTCTTCAATGAATGGTTCTTGAGTGCTGAAGACACCACACTCTCAGTGCTTTCAGCTGCCTTATGCCTCCATAGCTCAGTAGGAATGTGTGTCTAACCACATGGGTTCAAAAAAGCTGCGTGAAGCCACCCAAAGACCATCGGTGGAGCCAGTTGACTGCTCTGCTGTGTCACATAGAAGCTGCCTTCTCTAATCTGCACATCTGGGTCAGACAGAATGTTTTCTGTAAGATGAACGAGACACTATTCATTTTTTACGATGTGTCTTTGAACGGTGGCTTGCAGTTAAGAATGCTGTGCGCAAAGATGCTGGAGCTTCACAGCTGGAAATCATGTAAAAGCGTCTTACATTAAAAAAAAAAAAAATTGATTATGATGGACAGTTTGAAATATGCCTGTTTTCCGAGACGTTTTCCTTGGAAACTGCAGACAGTCAAGTTCATTTCCCACTCAGCTGTGTCTGGCCCTGCCCTCATTACGAACTGATCTCAGAGCAGCCGTCCACCAGCTTCCTGCGCATGTCGTCATTACGAGCCGATCTCCGTACAGCCGTGGTTCTTATTGCTCTGCTGCTGCCCTCATTACTGGCTGAACTTTAGAGCCAGACAGGCAGCATGCAGAGGATGGGGGAAGGACTCTGAGAAGAGGGCATTCATCTTGAAACTATTACTCACTTCATGTGCTTCTCTCAGCGCACTCTGCTGGCTGTGTTGTGCAAGTGGTTTGTGAAGACTCCCTAAAAACAATATGGATGTATCTTTTGACCATGTGGAATCACTTAAAACACTTTTAACACTTACTAGTTTATTTAATTTGTCCGTTAACAATGTATATACATTAAATACCATTCAAAAGTTTGGGGTCAGTAAAAAATCTTTGCGTCCCTAAACTGGCTGCATGTGGTTGACCAAAAATACAGTGAAAACAGTAATATTGTAAAATATTATTACAATTTAAAAGAACTGTTGTCTATTTAAATATATATTTCAAAATGTCATTTATTCCTGTGATGATAAAGCTGAATTTTCAGCATCATTACTCCAGTCTTCAGTGTCACATGATCTTTCAGAAATCGAATATGCTGATTTGGTGCTCAAGAAACATTATTATTATTATTATTATCAATATTGAAAAAGGTTTAATATTTTTGTGGAAACTGTGATACATTTTTTCAGGATTCTTTGATGAACAAAAGTATTTATTACTTTAAAAAAGAAAAAAAAAGTACAATACTTTCACACTAGCGCATGAAGATGTGACATCCGTTGGGGTCAGATGATTGTTTTATTTTCATATCATTAGAGGTGATGATTCCATGAAGCAACTGTGTGAAACCACTATTCCCGAAAACTGTTTTACTATGAACTTTCCTTCACAGATTTGTATAAACCTGCCATTTCACACCGGGATCTAAACAGCCGTAATGTTCTGGTGAAGAACGATGGCACATGTGTGATCAGCGACTTTGGCCTGTCCATGAAACTGACGGGAAATCGCCTCGTACGGCCTGGTGAAGAGGAAAACGCCGCCATCAGTGAGGTCAGCCCATAAGCGCTTGCTTGACTGGAATATTGTAGCAACCTGAAGCTGCTGAAATGATTTTGTTAGGGTACATCACCCAGTTATGGTCATGTTGGTAGTTGGAGGTGTCCAGAATTGCGGATACAGACTCACCATAAGAGCACGTTTCCCCTCACACCTGTACTGCTCTGCTGTCTATAGGTGGGCACAATCCGCTACATGGCACCGGAAGTGCTGGAGGGAGCGGTGAACCTCAGGGACTGCGAGTCGGCTTTGAAACAGGTGGACATGTATGCCATTGGCCTCATCTACTGGGAGACCTTCATGAGATGCACTGACCTTTTTCCAGGTGAGGACCACGGCTCTGCACAGACAACAGCAAGGATGTAGATACACTGCTGGCTAAGCAGAACTGGCTTTAGCATGTAACGCCAGCTAGTTTTAGTGGTGTTCAAATTGGCTTAGTGTACACTGCAAAATCATTGTTTTAATCACTATTGTTTTGTAAATAAGAATGTTTGAAAAACATACTAAGGCATTTTTAATGTCTTTTTAATATTTTATAAAAAAAATTTTTTATAAGAATATTTAAAAATGATACTGTTAAAAAATTTAATATTTGTAGTGTTTTGTCTTGTTTTAAGCATACAGTAAATATAACAAATAAATATATGTATAACTGAATATCATTATTTATATATATATACAATATATAAGTAAAATAACAGTTTTCAATTTTAAAATATTTTAAAATGTAATTTATTCCTGTGATGGCAAAGCTGAATTTTATATGATCCTTCAGAAATCATTCTAATATGATGATTTTGTGTTCAAGAAGCATTTCTTATTATCATTCTTATTTTTAGTTAGAGAAAGTAAATTTAATTTATTTGTATTAGTTTAATAACTGACAGCTTCAAGTTGTCAATGCTGACAAGTTTCTATGGTATAAGCAGTAAAATCCATGGCTAGGTTTGCATTAGACAGTTTTAATGCACGACAAGGAGGCAAAAACCACCCAACATGAAGTGCCTCCACCCTTTTATTACATGAAAGGTGTAATATATATATATATATATAACCTTTTATAGCACAAAACGATTGCGCTCCCCACACAGAAACTTATGGATTATGCATACTAGTGGGAACATTGCTCACAGCAGGAAGTCCGACATTTGAAGTCTTGATATTTTTCATTGAAAGAGGACTTTTTTTATTTATACAAAAGAAGTTCTTTGATGATGGTAGCAGAGATACTTTGGGGTTTGGGATGAATTTAGCGATGAAACTTCTGTAAGAGAGTGTAACAGCTTTCTAAAATCCTCTCAGAGAAGTTGTTTCTTAGTTCATCCCTGTCAAAAAATATTGCCCATAGTAATAGACATAGACATCTTGTTAAGCATCCTGGCCCATCCCAGCCTTAACCATTAGACATCACACCACCCCTTATGTTCGTAACCACTAGGCTACACCACTGGGTTGCAACAAAGGCTCTGTTGTATACTGCTCATTATGTTCATGAAATATGAGTGTGCCTCATCTCATTGAGTATTTTTCAGTAAATTCTAGTGAGTGCAAGCGTATGGAGGTCTCCACTGACTGACTTTCCTTTGTTTTTTTGAAGGGGAGGCAGTGCCAGAATACCAGATGGCCTTCCAGGCAGAGGCAGGGAACCACCCCTCCTTTGAGGACATGCAGGTGCTGGTGTCCAGAGAGAAACAGAGACCCAAGTTCCCAGAAGCCTGGAAGGAGAACAGCCTGGTGACTGACTGATACAATCTCATTGTGTTCTTGTCACAGGAAGTGGTCAGATTATTGCTGCAAGATCAGCTGAAGCTCTTTCCCAGCTCTATATTCACTTCAGTTAATACAGTTCCTTTTGTTGTTCTGTTATCCAAATCATATACAAGTGGAACAACATGGAAGAAAAAATGCTGAAAAAGACCGTGAAGTCAGAGCCGGTTGATACTGGCCAACCAAGCTGTTGACCGCTGTTGAACAGGCTGAATTAGTCTCATTTGGTGAAGCTGGTCAACCAAGGAAGTTTACTGGTTAGGCTAGTTAACCATTCTGTTAGAGACACCAGCACAATAGCACACAATATATGCCAGTATTTTCAGTGCAGTGTGTTTACAAAAGAATCTCAAGTGATCTTGAGATTCAGACATGATGAAATCAAACATGATGAGCAAATAACAATGTAATGGCAACCAGCCACAAGCATAATGGCAGCAATTCTATCGTCTGTCTGTTTTTGACACATTCACTCTCCTCTCTCCCAGGCTGTGCGCTCTCTCAAGGAGACTATGGAGGATTGCTGGGATCAGGACGCAGAGGCTCGCCTGACAGCACAGTGTGCAGAAGAGCGTATGGCGGAACTGCTGCTGATCTGGGAAAGAAACAAACCCGTCAGCCCCACTATCAATCCCATGAGCACAGCGCTGCAGAACGAGAGGTCTGAACACACCTCACACACTCTCACAGCTACTCCTGACCGTCTCGTGAATAAATCAGGGGGCCGTGTGCTTATTACACACGTAATTGTTCTTGACTGGGCTTATTGTAATTCGATTTTTTTTGGCATGCTCTCGGCCTTTCCTAAATAATGCAAAGGAGCTGTGTAAGCAATTTATCATTGAACATTTGTCTGATGTCTTACATATTTCACTGAATTAGGTGTACTGAAACATAATATATTACTCACAGCAGAATTTTTAAGCTAATGTAAAGTATAAAAAATTATAAAAGTGTATGTATTTTATTATTTTTTAATAATATACATTATAATTCATAGATAATGTAGCTAGGCATAACAAGTGGGATAATTTACTCTCAGACAGTCATTTTTACAAAATAATATAATAAATAACAATATACAAAATATTACAAAATAAGGGTAATTTATTCTTTAGGGTATATGTAAGGTATAAAAATATAATATAACATTATAATAATGTTATTATATAAAATAATGTATACTTATTTAATTTGTTAATAGCCATTTAATAAGTGGGATAATGTACTGTCATCCAGCACATATAACAACATAAACCCTCTCAGGGTCATTCTTGATAATGAGCTGCACATTGTCCTGTATTTACAGCACCTTTAATTAAATGGACCATCTGTTCTCTGTTTTGACCCCTGTTCTCTCTCTTTCTGTTCTTGTAGGAATCTCACCCACAGTCGCAGGGCTCCCAAGATGGGCCCTTATCCAGATTACTCTTCATCCTCTTACATCGAGGATCATGAGGGCATGGTGAAGAACCTCCCAGGCGACGTCTCTACGTCTGGCACATCCTCTGTGGGTGGCCTGGGCGTGAGCGGCATCAGTGGTGGCGTGGCAGTGACGGGAGAGAAGAACAGAAACTCTATCAACTACGAGAGACAGCAGGCTCAGGCCCAAGCTCGGCTGCCTAGTCCCGAGACCAGCGGCACGAGTCTGTCCGCCACAACCACTACGATGGGCCTCACGCCCAGCACCATGATGACCACCATCTCTGAATCAGGCCACTCGGAGGAGGCCGGAGCCGGGGGAAGCGTACCAGTGTGCCTTCAGCTCACAGAAGAGGACCTGGAGACCACCAAACTGGACCCCAAGGAGGTGGACAAGAACCTGAAAGAAAGCTCTGATGAGAACCTGATGGAACATTCACAGAAGCAGTTCAGCGCTCCTGACCCACTCAGCTCAGGCAGCTCCAGCCTCTTGTTCCCGCTGATAAAACTCGCCGCAGAAGTGACTGGTGGATCAGGAACTGGCAGCCAGGCCGATTTTGGGGTGGGCGGCAGTGGAATGGGCGACACTCCTACAGCCATGTTCTCTCTTCCCAAACAGCAGAATCTCCCCAAGCGGCCCACCAGCTTGCCCCTCAACACCAAAAATTCTGGCAGGGAGTCCTCGTCATCACGGTTGAAGTTTGGCAAGCACAAGTCCAACCTGAAGCAAGTGGAGACGGGCGTAGCCAAGATGAACACTGTAGTGACAGTTGAGCCACACTTGGTCACTGTTACTAACAATGGACCCAGTGTCCGTAGCGGCGTTGGAGTGGTCGTTGTTAATGGATACGGTGGGGGCAGTGGCGCCGGATCCTCTGATGCATTTGGTAACACAAACCCAGCCGGGCCACAGGGTGACGGTGGTGCCCCTCTGCTCCAGAGCCAGCTGAGTGGAGAAGACAACCGTCTCAACATCAACTCCAGTCCTGACGAACATGAGCCCCTGTTGAGGAGAGAGCAGCCGGCAGCGCGCGATCACTCCGGCCGCACCAACTCCAATAACAACAACAGCAACATCCACACAACTGCCTCTGCCACGATTCATACCTTAGTTCCTGTAGACGCCCAGATGACATTAACCCACTCTCCAGGGGCACCAGATGGAAGGGATGATGGCGTTCATCTGAGACAGCATAAGCCCAGGAGACCTGAGCGGCCAAACTCACTGGACCTGTCAGCAACTTCCCAGGATTCTTCTCTTCTGGGTAAGACCTGTTTTAGTTTGGACCTGAAGTCACTAGGTTTTGGAATGCCTTAAATGCCTCCTGCCTTGACAGCATTTGAAGGTATCCTAGGTGCTCTCCAACACAAATGCTGTTCCAAAATAGTGCTAGCAACAACAATTTCTTTTTCTGAAAGAGATTGCTTTTGTTCAGCAAGGATGCATTAAATTGATCAAAAGTGACACTAAAGACTGATTTATACTTCTGCGTCGGACCTACGCCGTAGGCTATGCGTCAGTTTTCATTTATACTTCTGCGTCGTTGTCCCAACGTGCAGTACACATGCAAACCGCTAGTCAGCAGTGTCCACGGGCATGTTGCTGGTGTAACCCGCAGTACCACGGCAAAAGCCGAAGAAGAAGCGGCTCGTCAGAGAAGCATTATAGCCGTGACGGCGGCAAATAAATATCAAATCATTAAATCATTATTTAAAACTACAAAAAGGAGACAACAACGGAACAAGAGATGATGGTATTCTTTCAATCTGCACAAGGACTTGTACCACGGCAGATCAACATTGTTTGTTGCGGACAACTACTGATGTATAATGCTACGTAGTATAATAAATGATAAGACACTTGTTCTTTGCTTTGTTTTATTTTATATAAGAAGGTGTAACATTAAAATATATTAAAGTGCACATAAACGCACACAAAACTCAAGTACATATGGAGGGAGGGGTTCTTGCAGACCAATCACAGCGCTTGCGATCTGCGTAGAATTGACGCGCTGTTAGATTTTTGGAGAGGTGCACGTCAGGCTACGGCGTATGGGTGTGCGTCTATGCGTAAGCTACGGCGTAGGTCTGACGCAGAAGTATAAATCAGCCTTAACAGTCTTACTGATCCCAAACTTACAATGTGTTCATGTAATCCTGTTGTTCATTTAAATTAAAGCAGAACATGTTAATTTGAACGATCAGTGATATTGTGCAAGTTTACATTTTTATTTGCTGAATTATTGACATTCACCATGAATTATATGTAGTATAGATTATTTGAGCATTGATGAAATGTTATTTTAAGGAAAGCTGTATCACTGATCAACAACGTCCCCAGGAGCAGGGTGGAGGAGCCGGTGTGCGTGTCAGCCAGGCTGCAAACAATAACCACCCAAAAGAGGACGCCAGTCTGAGTTTTCCCATCTGAGCTCACTATATCCTGCTTTGCCCAGATAATCAAGAGCACACCTCCTCAAAAGCTAAACGTTTCGTAGAAAAAAGGATGAGTGGCTAGTCGTACTTTGTCTCCCGCACTCCTGCTCTTTGTGGTGGAGTGTTTAGATGTTGTGAGAAGGAAGGAAATTCCACTGGATTGATAAGAATCCAGAAAACATTCGGCCTCAGTTGGCAACGGCGATAAAGAGTAATGCTAACAGACAGATGTGAGTGCAATGTCTGTCGCTGTTGACTGAAACCACTGGAGTAGACTCTAAACAGGAAGATGAAAAAACAAGAGTCACGCTGCCCACGTGTTTACATTCCGCATGCGGACTCGAGCGGAGACATGAACCGCCCGAACCCGATGATTCAGACTCGAGGGCACACTGAGAGAGTTAGTGTGGGAAAGGTCAACCACAAATTTGAGTGTGCTGAAATACTACTCTCTAGCGCTTCACTGGGCGGGATGTTTGGAGCAGCTCTGCTAGAATTCCCAATAGACATATTGCAACACACACAACTGTTTTTCATTGCCATATCAAGGAAGTTTGTTAAAATGTGACCTCCTTTTCTGCTTTAGATGAGGTCGTGTCACAAGAGGGAAAAGACGGATCGGCCGAGAAGATTAAGAAGCGTGTGAAGACACCTTATTCTTTGAAAAGGTGGCGTCCTTCTACATGGGTCGTCTCTACAGAAACGCTGGGCGGAGAGGTGAATAACAACGGGCACAGCCAGAAGATGGGGACGGCAGCCACTGGAGGTGGTCACCCAAGTTCTGGCCAATCAAAATCCAGCATCGCAGTGTTCCTGGTCAGCGGTGGAACTGCAACCGCCACTCTAACCTCCGACCCGCCAGATATGACCTGCCTGTGAACTCGCATCTCCGCTTTTCCTCTGAGGACGAGCCCAGATCAGATTTTGAACACAGGAGGGGTTTGTCTATGCTATCGTGCTCCAAGAACTGATCCAGCTGATGACCGAAAAGAGAGTTTTTGGAAAGCAGACTCTTGAAGGGACGTAATTTGGCAAGCACTTAACTTTGTCAAACTTATCCAACATGTTTTGAAGAAATCGCTTTAAACCGAACCCAGCTATGCAGCAACATTGGTATAAAATGCTTCCATTTGTTTGTTTTTTTTGTTTTGTTTTTTTTCAATCAAGTATGATTCTTGTATGGTTGTTCTTTCATTTGTTGCGCTTTTTTTTGTAAGTAATCTTAATCACAGATCCTCCGACCATGTTAAAGACTGGTCTTAAAACTGAAAGACGTAAACGACAATGTGTTGATTTAACAATCATTGTAGATTGGGCGAAATTGAAATCATGTCCATCTAAAAAAGGCATCCAAGATCAAAAATAAACAAAAAGCAGTGGTCTTTAAGACAGGGTTGACTGCATCTCTAATACCTTTTAACCCACAATACATTCATATGTTTTATATTTGTTGTACGTATCTGTGTAGTCAGTTTTTTGTATCATATTTGGAAATGTGCAATAGACTTTAGCTTTGAGGTGCTCCATAAGACAATTTCATTTTGCCGCTTTTGTTTGTTTCTTGTCTTTAGTTTATTATCTTGAAGCGCTGCTCTTAGCAGTGGCAATCCTGTGTCCATTCAGCTACCCTGACTGCTTTTGAGAAACATTGAAACTTCTTATAAATGACAATCCTACACCTTTTCACCAATCCCATCACTCATGAAATGGAAAGTAAATGGAAAATCTTGGGGCGTTTGCTTTAATTACTAGAAGTTCATAACAGACAACTTCTCACAAGCTTCAACAAGGACAGTAGGTTTTTTCTGTTACACTACAAGTCAGGCATCAACCTAGACTGTTTGCTGGAAATCATGCTCTCTGAAGACACTGAATAATCAAGTCCCTCTCTGCACATGCTCAGTGCAGTTTTACCTCTGTGAGAGTGTATGTAAATGTGTATGTGTGGGTCTGTTTCTGCTTTACGGTAACTGAGCTCCTCGGATCACAGCTGAAAAGGTATCAGTCAAACGAGACTTTTCACTTCCCATCTCTGCCAGGACAATGGACGTTTGCTTGGTGTGCTTCAGAAAGCCAACACACACGTACATACGACCTGAACAATATATATACAGTATGTACAGACTGAAGCTCACAGCTACTTTAGTTTTAACCTCCGGTTAAGATAAGCTGACATGATTGGTGTACATTAAGAAATCATGATTTGATTCATTTTAGCTGTTTCTGAAGATATTTTTTTTTCTCTTTATTTTTTCAAATGTTTAATTTATGTAGTATCCAGGGCCATCTTCATTCTCTGGGTTTATTATTCTCATGAAATCGAATCGGTAAGTTGTTTATAATCATGTAAAATTATCTTATTTCAATGATACTTTCAATCAAATACATCAGAAATGCATGTAGTTTCACCCTTCTTTTGCAAGTCAATCATGTACATTTGACGAGGGATTGAGCCTTTTTTGGTGCCACTAGAAATACAGTCGTAAAAGTACGGCATCCTCATTTTGAAATCATCTACGAGAGCAAATTATGTTTTTACCAGCCATAACATGGGCCTCGTATTTTATCCTACAACTGCTGCCTTTTGTGGAAAACAAAGGACATGAGCCATTCAAATAATTATTCCCTCATATAGCAAGGCCCTGCTTCCCTAGAAATACCAGGAAAACCAAAGATAGCACATGTTTGATCAAAGAGCACTTACCGTGCTATATGCATTTTCCATAATGAGTGTGGGGATTAACCATGATTTGGCACACATATTATCTTTGGACTTTGTCCAGTGCAGAGTGGGGAACTTTCAAAAAGTCATCTGATATGTCCCTTCCATTGGATTTTTCTTTCTGAAAACGAGATGATAAAGTGCAGTTTAGTTTCTCATGCCCTCTTTTCTGAACCAATCAGTGCTTCAGTCTGACTTTTGTATATGTTTGTAATATAGGCTAACCTCTGTGGTGTATATATACAGCGCATTTGTATGCACATCTACAGACTCCTCATCTGTTGCTTTGGGACCAAGAACAACGCTACATCTGTTAGATATATCTGAAGATAAACACAGTAACAAGACTGTTTTCAGCTAGATACTTCAGAATGCTGGAGTCAAACAGAAGATTGTGAACTGAAATGAGAAATAATAGCCTAATAAAAGACAAAACAAACCTCCAGTGCTAATCTGAATAAAAAAGAACAAACGTTTGATTTAGACCAAAGCGTTGAAGCTAAAACGTTAATGAAGCTGAGTCATTGGAAGTGTAGTTTGTTCAGGACTGTCCCATCTGCTACATGTTAATAATGCAAGATGTTTACACCAGAGCCTTTGTCCAGTTTTACAGCACATTGTTGAATACCAAATCATTTATAGATACTACATGCCTTGTTTATTCTTGAAGCAGGCCTCGAGAAGTCAGACTTTTTTGAATTCAGTCAAGTTGCAGGAGTGTTTTAACTAAACCAAGTCGTACTCTTGAGTTTAAAATGAGTCCGTTATTGAATCCTACATCGATTGGAACTCACTCGCAAAACCAAACATGAAAATGACAAATGGCTAACAACGTGTCCCCTAAAACACAAACTTTGAGTATCAGCTGTATTTTGGAGTGCAAATGAGCGAAAGAATGAAGGGTCTGTGTTGACAAGCTGATTTTTTTCTTTTTACTTTTGAGTTCATATTGAAGCTGAAGTCTTCATTTGGCCCCTGCCTAGATGGATGTTCACAAAAAAAAAAAGCCACCGACCTTTTCTATTACAGCTTGTAAAGTGAGCACTTTGAGAAGAAAGAACAAATGATAACTCGTGCTTTTAGTCTATTCAAATGTTTTAAAATGCCATTTAGAAAATAAAGCTTGCTGTACAACCCGGCATTACTCAATTGATTAAAGATTATATTAATGGAAACCTGTTTATGATGTTTACTTGTCATTTGTTTCCTCTTAACTGGGAGAAAACGTACAATTTTTAGGATCGTTTATAAAGTTCTTGCACTGAACTTTGATTGTATTAAGTGGCCACATGAGGGTGGTAAAGGCAACCACAATACCATGACCAAAAGCATGTGGCCCTGCACAACAGTTTCCATTCAGATAATAGTTTCACTTTGCCGTATGCACGCATGGATTGATCTTCTGTATTCAGTTTGGTGTCTAAACACACAAATACATAACATGTTATTAGTGAGCATATGAGATTTACTTCTCTTAAAGAAACTAATTTTGGGGAGGGGAAAGGGGAGTGATAATTTAAGAATAAATGCCTATGTATTATACTTTTTTACACAAATGTGACCACTGACCATGATTAATGAGACAGAAAATACATTAACAAGAGAGTTTAATTATCACATACGGTAATTATTATCATCTTCGCGAAACGGTTCTTCATAATAACACTGCGTGTATTATAAATCAACTTTACAGAATCAAAGAATCCACTTCCTAGCCAATCAGAAGTTGAGAGAGGTGAGCGAACAGCCAATCAGAGTGGAAGAGGCAGAGCTCCGGGTCGAGTTGGCGGTGCGTGGCTCTGACTCTCTCTCAGTTTACTTGAGCTCGCGAAACGGTTCGGCTGCGCCAGCCCGAGAGCAGAACACAGACTTTACATGGCGTGACAAGGGCACCAAAGAGCATTAACCACCTCAGACTGCCTTAAACGTACGTTCTACGTGTTTATGTTGAGTTTTGTGTCATTTCCCGGCGAACAAAATGTCTCAAAGGGTTCGCAAAAACGGATCTCCGACGTCTAACTGCAGCGGAGTGACCGCGGGAAACCCGAGCGGATCCCCGGGGATCAGCGCCGCTGGAGTGAGTTTACTGGGTCGCCTACTACCCATGAAAGCCACGGTTCCCTTCCAGCTGAAAACGCAGACACAGCACCCTCTACAGACACGGACAGTCCTCTCCACCGGTAACGGTAAATGCCACAGCAGCGGCACCCGCAGCCGGAGCCCCACGCGATCCCTCTCCTCCAGTGCCTCAAACGTTTCTGCAGCCGCGTCCACTTCCTCTGCGACGTGCTCACAGTTCATCACAGCCACAGCTGTTTGCTCCGCTCCCTCCTCCTCTTCTTCTTCTTCTTCTTCTTCTTCTTCTTCATCATCTTCATCCTCATCCAGAACTAGCCCCATTATCGCTGGGCACGCGTCAAGCCCCAGAGCGTCCCACGCGCAGGTACCTGTGCCATCCTCGTCATCACCCTGCACAGGTGTGCACCTGAGCCCCCAGTGCTGCTCCCCCTCTCAGCAGATCAGCTGCAGCTCGGACACTTCAGCCCTTACCTCTCATCTATCAGCATCTCCGTCTTCACCCTCGTCGCTGTGGTCTTGCGGTCACAGGGTCAAACTGCTCCAGGCCCCTGAACATGACAGACTGTCTCCAGAGAGGCTCAGTCCCAGCTCACCTGTCTGCACAGGTAAGTCTACAGTCTAAAGCAGTTGATTTGATAGGAGGCCAGACCTGATGGGCCTGATGTGTTTATTTGACATCACTGTTGTAACCTGTAAACACACATACAGTCCATGTGGTTTGTGGGTGTTACATCCGCTTTCTGGAGACTTTCTGAAAGTGTCGTAGTAAAATGGCTTACTAGGTTAATAACCTAATAATGTCACTGTCATATTGTGTAATTTAAGATGCAATAGATGCTCATGAGGCTCATTGCATTACAACTAATTGCATTAAAATATTCATAACAGCGACCTGTCTCACTAGAACCCCCCCCCCCCCCCCACTCGCACTCATTCAATGAGCT